CGGATCCTGACGACGACCCATTCTCCAATCTTCTCTACCTTTACAACTACCTCAGTGAACCACTGTTCGCTTTTGCAGAAGGTGGTGGGAATGCTACTACTGCTGAACCGGTGGCTGAACCGATCGCTACTGAGACTGCTGATACTGTTGAAATCTGATACCAGGAAGAGAGCCAGATCTTCTTCTCAGCAATCTCGTCCCTCAAACTCCAACATTTCTCAGTGCCAAATTTGCAACAAAAAGGGCCATCTCGCACATAATTGCTGGCATAGACTCAATACATCTGTCAATCCTCCGGACACAACTTCTACAGCTACTGCTTCCCGTGTGATGGTTGCGGCAACTGACTCAGATAATCAAGATTGGTACTTAGACTCAGGCGCGTCGGCTCATCTTACTAATTCTGCCGACAACCTTTCTCAGGCTACATCCTATACTGGTAACGACAACATTACCATAGGTAATGGCAGATCTCTCTCCATTGCGCACACCGGCAATGGAATTCTGCCTACACCGTATCGTAAGCTAAATCTTAATCCCTTACTTCATGTTCCTTGTTTATCACATAACTTGTTGTCTGTCTCTAATCTTACTCAAGATAATAACGTGTCTGTGAACTTTTATCCTCATGGTTTCAACATTAAGGATATGACGACAAACAAAATTCTTCTGTCGGGCCCAAGTAAACGAGGACTCTACCCTGTACGTTCGGTCACCAAGAAGTCGCTCTCCTCAACGGCTCTCACTGCTACTTCTCAAGCTGCCTCTCTGTGGCACCAAAGACTGGGTCATCCGCATCCCAGCATTATCAAAGCCATTTCTGTTACTTATACTAGACTTAAAATACCGCATTCTTTTAAATTTTGTTCTGATTGTACGACCTCAAACGGTCATAAACTACCTTTTCCTAATAATAGTCACCGTGCTACTCAACCTTTAGCCATTATTCATTCGGATGTTTGGGGTCCTTCCCCGGTTCCTTCGCACCAAGGTTTTTTTTATTACGTTGTTTTTATCGATGACTTTTCTCGTTTTTCGTGGGTTTTTCCGATGAGATTTAAGTATGAAGTTTTTAATATATTTCCGCATTTTAAAATTTTCGTTGAAAAACAAACTAGCTGCGCAATAAAATGCCTTCGATCTGATGGTAGCACTGAGTACCTGAATTACAATTTCAAAATTTTTTTAACTCAACACGGCATATTACATCAGACTTCTTGCCCCTATACCCCTGAACAGAATGGGTTGGCTGAACGAAAACACAGACATCTTCTTGAAACCACTCGGACTCTGCTCCACAGCGCTTCTATTCCCCAATCTTTTTGGCTCGATGCTGTTCTGACTGCATCTTTCATTATCAATTGTTTACCCACGATCACTACAAATTTTAAATCTCCCCTTTCTCTTTTTTTCATAAAGATCCTGATTACAAATTTTTCAAAGTCTTCGTCTGTGCCTGCTTTCCGTTGATACCACCTAACCAACGCAATAAACTTCAACAAAAATCTCGCACCTGCGTGTTTCTCTTTTTTTATAAGTGTCTAGATACTACCACAAACAAAATCGTTATCTCTAGACATGTTATCTTTGATGAGTCTACTTTCCCTTTTAAACAAACTTCTCCCATCTCTCCTCCCAATTCTTCATTTATGCCACCTTCTCTGCTTGTTCCCACGTCTCAAACGTTCCAGCCATCCTCTACCGCTAACTGTTCTAATCAACATCTTCCGTTGAACAATTCTGCTCCCAGACCCCAGAACTTCCGCCCAAACCAATACTATTACTCCTTCCACTCCTCTAGGAGACTCTACCTGCCATCCTATTCCTACGGGCCCTGCTCCGTCTGCATTGCCTACTATCAGCCATCCCTTTGTTCTGTCTAAACCCTGCCATCCGATGATTACACGCACTAAAACTGGCACGACTAAGCCCATCCAGCGACTCAACTTACTTCACATTCAGGATTCTTCTCAGCTTACTCACTGTTCTGAACCTACTACTTATGCCGAAGCCAGCAAACACGTGCAGTGGAGACGCGCCATGGCTGACGAATTCCATGCCTTGCAAAAACAAGGAACATGGGATCTTGTTCCTCTGCCTCCCAAGACTCCGGTTCTCGGTAGTCGCTGGACGTATCGCATCAAACATAACACTGATGGAACCATTGCTCGTGTTTCAAAGCACGTCTTGTTGCGCAGGGAAATCACCAAAAATACGGTTTGAATTATCTTGAAACATTTAGTCCTATGGCTAAGTTTCAAATTATACGCATCTTATTAACTATTGCGATTACTAACACTTGGCCTGTGCATCAGTTAGACGTATCCAACGCTTTCCTACATGGCAACATCTCTGAAACTATCTACATGAAACAGCCAAAAGGGTTTGAAGACGACCTCTATCCAGATCACGTCTGCAAATTAAAGAAAGCCCTTTACGGCCTCAAACAGGCTCCTCGTCAATGGTTTCAGACGTTTTCGGACTTTCTGTTTTCTCTTGGCTTCACCTCGGGCAAAGCGGACTCTTCCTTATTTATTCTTTAAAACGATCACAGTCAAGTCTATTTGATCATCTATGTAGATGATATTCTTTTAACTGGAAACAACCCCTCTCTTATTGCTACGGTTACTTCTCAGCTCCATCAAAAATTTGCTATGAAAGAGCTCGGTTTGGTTAACAGTTTCTTGGGCATAAATATCACTACAACAGCAAACTCATACATGCTGTCTCAAACTCAATATGCTAAGTCAATACTGCAACTGGCTGATATGCAGGACTGTAAACCGTTAGCTAATCCCTGCTGCACTAAGTGCCCGGTCCCTGGTGCTCAACCAGCATTCTCTACTGATCCAAAACTCTACAGACAACTCACCGGTTCCTTGCAGTATCTTACTATCACCCGACTGGATATATCATTTTCGGTTAACCAATTGTGCCAACATATGCACAACCCGGATTCTCATCACTTTCACTTACTTTATCGTTTGCTTCGTTATATAAAAGGCACTCTCTCACTTGGCTTACCAATTTTGCAGGGACCATTGGATCTACACTCGTACTCTGACGCTGACTGGGCCGGTGACAAAGACACTCGTCGTTCCACCAGCGGCTACTGTACCTTCCTCGGCAACACACTTATCTCATGGAGCGTAAAGAAGCAACAAACAGTGGCTCGATCATCAACTGAAGCCGAGTATAGATCGCTAGCTACTGCTCTTGCAGATATCCTATGGCTCCGGCGTCTCTTATAGGACTTCCGCATTACTTGTTCCTCTCCTACGCCGTTACACTGTGACAGTACTTCAGCTATTGCCTTAGCCAACAACCCTGTATTTCACACTCGAACCAAGCATATCGAAATCGATCACCACTTTATCAAAGACCACATTCTATCTCAAAATATTCAAATATTTCCTATCTCCACAAAGGATCAAATTGCTGATATCTTCACCAAATCGCTCTCTACTCCGCGCTATCATTTTCTTCGTGACAAGCTGTATGTTCAACTCCATCCATCAGCTTGAGGGGGCATAATAATGTATATTGTATATGGCTTGTACTCGTGTGTTACCTGTTTACCTGTTTTCTAGAATTCTCGATTTGTTTTCTTGTACTGATTATGTAATTCTATATATACTGTTCTCTGTAATAGATTAGACGACAACATAATAAAGATTTCTTTCTTTCCTGTTTGTCTTTAATTAGCAATCTCTTCGATCAGGGGTGGATATATTTTTTTTTCCGCGCAAAGTTTGCCTTGAAGGGGAATTTGCCCAATTAGTTTGCCCCCTTGATGTTTGAATGGCATGATAATTGAAGTAAACTGGAGAGGTGAAATCATATATTGGTATTCGATTATTTTAAGGTCTCGCAGGCTTCTTCCATATAATTTGCTTAAGGTCATAAACTTATATTGAAGTAACAGTGTAAAGGAAGGAAGAAGAGCGAGCAATATGTTGGCTTTACTACATCTTGTTTCCAGCTGGAGCTTAGGAAGGAAACGAAATTTAAAACACAAAATAAACCATTTTTTTACAATATGCTAAATTTTTATGACCTAAGATATAACTAAAACATGCTATCACATTAACAAGCAGGGTTATTCTTGTCTGCATTTTTATTTCATTATGTATTTATTCATCATTATTATTATCATTTTTCAGGGAGTGTGCTGACCAACGTGTAATTTTAGGCATTTGTTTTGCTACCCGTAACAATTTCTTAGAATGTTTTTAGATGTGCAAAATTATCAAAACAATAATAGCTAAATTGATCCACACAAGGTTTTTTCTCACTTTTGAGCATAATCTAGTTAAATGAAGAGTAATGCTATCTGTTAAACCAGGTAATCAGGTTAACTTATTTGTCACATAATTTTACAATACCATCTGTCTTTCTTTTTTTGTTTTTTGAAAAGCATACATTATATATAAACTAAAGTGCAACAATTACATGACATTTGCATGAAGTATCACTTTGGACTATTTGTTTTCAAAAGAGTTTGAATTGGTTCTGAACATTCTTGCTAAAAAACATGTTGCATCGTGTCATCTGCTCTTCAAATGATGAAAATTTCATTATCTCATAGTGCTGGCGGGGGATGGGATCTTTTGTAGAGGTTGATGGGGAATTCACTTATTAAGCTCTCTTTCACTGGTTTACGGACCATTTGACGCTTGCTCTATCTCTTTCTCTTTCTCTTTTTAGTTATTCACTCTCTCTGTCTCTCTCTCTCTTTCTCTCTATTTGTAAGGGCGTGGTCCATTTGAAGTTTGGGTAGTTAAACAGATGATAGGATGGGCCTCTCTGTTAGAGAAAAATTTTGGCTCAATTTGAGCAGTTGTAAATTTAATAGATCCAAGGATACTTTTAAAGGCCGGGGATCTGGATTTAATTTACCTTATTATATGTATCAAATATAGCAACACTACCTTGAATATCAATCAGATTCTGTACTAAAGTCTAATGGTTTTATCCATTTATGTTACATTATTCTTCCAGATTAAACAGATTGTCATGCTTCACGTACTGCTACAATTTCAGAACGTTATCCTACATGAGACACCATTGAAAAACCATGGATACTGCAATCTTCTCCCCTTCGTCTCTTTTCCATGATGAGGAGGATGAAGGTAACGTTCATATCTAGTTATCTACCACAATACTTGTGGAAAAAACTGGAAGTGGCAACCAACATTTGCCAACTTATTTGTTTTGGCAGGGAGAGATGTGGAAGAAGCCGACAATGGAAATCAACTCCAGAGTTATATAGAGAGAACTCATACTTTTCCTGGAGTGGTATCTTTCTTCTCATCTATCATAATTTCTGTTTTTGCAGTCAGGCTTTCATGTTTCCTGTGGGACCATTTGCTAGTATCAACTGCTGAGCTTTTTATTTTTCTCATGGGTCCTAAGATATGCTTTTCACCATATTCTATAATTGTCATCATCTTCCTTAAAGAGAATCTAAGAGCTGGGCCCTGCTCCATTTCAATTCATAAAACTCAAATTGCTCAATAATTGATTAAATTTAATCATAATGTTGCTCTCTATAGTTGATTGATGACTAGATATTTCAGCATTAAACTTTATTGTTATGGGGTTTCACTAACGCGTCAGTAGTGGTTTCAACAAGCTGCCATTTATTGCTTTTGGCGTGTCTTCCCCCTTTCAGTTATATTTCCTAAGCAACACATCAAATCTGATCAGATGTGGATTCCAACATCAAAGGCTTCAATTTAAGTGAAAAATCGTCTTCTAGCCTTGTTAATAAAGCTTCTAGCATTCACTAGTATCAAACCTAAAATTCTAAATGTTCATTTTTTTATCCATAATTGGCATGTTTTTCCATGAAATAACATTGGGAAAGAACAAGGATACTGTTGTGATTAACAAAGATAGTAGAACTCAATTTGCTTTTATTTAATGGTTAGTATATATTCCGCCTTTATTTGTTATAATAATTTTCTCAAAGGAGGTTACAAAATTGAGTAGCCTTTCCATGTAATTTTGGATTTAAGGAAGTGCACATTTTAGGTACTTAATTTAGTGGTGTTCTTTACACTCCTAAATTTTAATTATGATATTAATTGTTGAATAATATGTAAATAGAAAGTTGCATCATGATAATAATTATCTGCATTATGCCAACTATTTGAGTTCGGTTTTTGGATTCCTCATATTTCATTTATTTGTATTGAGTGTTATCTGTGGTGTTAAACTTATTTTAAGTAACTCCTATCCAAGTTATCTTAGGTCTACTTTTTTTGTTTTCAAATCCTCTAACCCTAATTTTATCAACTTTTCTAACAAGCACATTTTGTTCCCTTCATTATACATGTAAAAACTACCTAAATCTATTTAGCCATTTTATCTTCAATCAACGTCACTTCATTCTTTCCTCTAATATAATTTTCATTAGTTTTTCTTTCCTAGTCTTGCTCTACTAATTCTAAGAAATTCATCTTCTAAGCATTTCCTCCATTTCTTCTTACTTCTTTATTTTATACATCATAATGAACATTAAATGTATCAAACACACAAATTTGCATTAGATATATAAGTATTGATATGAGAACATATATAAACTATTCATGCGAGAATCATGAAGCCCAAGTATGTGATGTCGATTTTAAGAGTCATAGCAAGTCATAATACCAATTAAAAATTGAGTCCATCATACAACAACCAATTAGGTAGAAATAATCATTGATATCATTTGAAATGCATTAAGCTATTGATCATTCTAGAGTATTTTTAACTAGCTTGATTATAGGTGTTTAAATAATTATTTTTGTATTTTGATTTTTATAGAAAAATAATTTACTAATATTTTTATTTTTATTTCTTTTTTGAACCAAGAAATAAATTCAATCAACCACAAATCTTGTATCACAATAATCACCAACATAGATCAAATTATAGAATGTAAATATGCAACAAATAGCACATAGAAAGTAAAGTGCGGAAAGTAAAGGAACAAACACACCAAAATTTTATAATGGTTTGGTCAACTTGACATACGTTCACTCCTCGTAGTCCTCTTCGGGTATTGCTCTAAAGTGACTCTCTTTTAGCCCATTCGGTACGGCAGAGAAGCCCTCACAAAATCACTTTCACCCTTGATGCGATTGAGAACTGAAATCCTTTTACCTTGGTGCGGCGAAGTAATCAAATCCCTTTCACCTTCCCCATGTGGCAGAGTTGTCGGTGGCCCTTTGACACCAAGAGCTTCTTCACAGAGTTTCCCTCAAAAAAGATTTTGACGTATGGAGAAACAAAGTGGATGTTGGCTAGAAAAAATATGTGAAAATATCCTTTCACACTCCCTTGCACCCACAAGGCTCCTCTCCTTCTCTCACAAATTCAGCTCTCTCGCCTTTGCTCAAATCTTTCTCTTCAAACCCTCTTACAAAAGTAACACACTCTCAGACAACCAAAGACCCTCTCAAACGAATTAAGAGAAGTTTAAATAGTAGGCTTCTAGAAAAACATAATTTTCAATTTTGTTATCATTGTTCGTATGATATGATTTATGATCGTACAGTACGATTAGTTCATATATCCCATTATAGTAATGTACGATGGATAATGCACAATATGATCGGTTCAATTTCTTAACTGATCATATTGTTCGAATGAGCAGTAGTACAACACGATTAGTACAAATCAAACTTCATCTTATGATCGTACAAAATCATCCTATGATTATACTGGACGAACCAAATTTCATCCAGTGACTCCTCGGGTGAGTCTCACAATATGATATATGATCGTCCAATATGATTTGTAATTAATTCAGATCCGATTTGATTGCTTAATTAACTGATCTAATTAAGCAATGATTTAAAAGATTGTACAAAATGAAAGTACTTGTATAGTATGAACAATATAAATTTTAAAATTTATATTTGCCTATTTTAGATAAGTTAGATTCGACGACAAGATTTTTGGTTATAGATGATCGTTTAGTGTGATATAGTGGTCATACTGTATGATTAGTTATATTTGAATTTACTTTATTATGTAAATTAAACATTATAGATGATCCGATTTGTGTGTATGTGCACTGTTGCTATGCTAGCATATACCTTTTTATATACATTGACTCAAGAAAAATAAAAGTACAGACATAAATAGAAAGTTAATTTTAATTTTAATGATGACAAATATTATTGGTTGATATTGTAAGTTAATTTTAATTTTCTCCTAAGCTCTCTTCTTTACTATGTATTTTTTTAGAAAGTAGGGAGAAATCTGTAATTATATATATATATATATATATATATATATATATATATTTTGAATGTTTCAGCTTTATAGATAAATGTGGTGAAATATGATATGAATATATTTTATTAGATTTTATAGATGAATGTGGTGAAATATGACATGAATGTGGTGAAACTATGATAATTTTTTTAGATTTTTGATGAATTATTGGGAAGGAAGTAATAAAGGATATGCACAAAATCTAGGGGCAAAAAAAAAGTAAAATGTTGTTTTATATGTTAAGATTTTTTTCTATGGTTGAGAAGATTTTAGATCTTAAGATTTTATTTGTGCATGAGAAAGCTAATGTTATGCAGGAAAAAGTAACAACTGATATTAAGAATATTACAAAAGATATGCTTGGAATATTAAAGAGAAAAGTGTTAGGCCAGCCCAGGAGGGGCCAGCTGAACTGTTCCTACCTGGACCGATTCACTGCTACAACAAGCGGCACAAGCCTAGTGTGGGGCGAAACTAAGCGGAGGGGGGCGGATGCCCTAATAGGCCCCATTGCTCAATGTAATCACCATTTAGGAGGGAAAGTTTGAACTAATGGCCATTTAGTTTTTTTGTAAGAGTCTTTTGGCTTTAATTAATCTTTTTAGTTAGGGTTTAGTTTTCATCTTGAATTGGGAAGAGATTTGAGATCTAGGGTTTGTTCTTTTTGGGACTTTAAGCTTTGCTAGGATTTGGAGAGTTGTTTCTTCCTATCGAATCGAAGAAACTTGTATATTATACTGCTTTTCTTGTTCGTGCAAGGGAATCCATCGGTGGCAATGGAAGAGGTGGAAAGCCTAACATATTTAGGGGAAGGAAAAATCCGGAAGTGGAAATCTTGAAGGGAGAAGATGGAATTCCTCCTCTAGAACCACTTTCTAGGGAGGAGATGAGCACTAGTTTCGAAAGAAGGGCTGCAGATTTTGTAGGGTAAAGGGAGGAATTATATCGCAGAGGTACTGAATTTGAAAGAATAAGAAGGGAATTTGATGAAGGGGTTGGGTATGATTGCCGGAGGGAAGATCATGATAACTGGGGAGCACCTCCTCTACACAGAATGGGATGATATGAAGGATTCAGGGGCAACGGGAGTGACCTGAAGGTGATGAAGCTGAAGATGCCCATCTTTGAGGGCAAGGATGGCCATGGTTGGATCTATAAGGTGGAACAATATTTCTCCGTCAACGGGTTGACAAAGGAAGAGAAACTGACAGAAGAAAAACTATGTTTGGAGGGGAAGGCACTGGCATGGTACTAATGGCGTAACATAAGGCAACACATCAGGAGCTGGAGGGAGTTCAAAGAGTGCTTGCTAGGACATTTTTGAACCAGTAGGGGAGGAGACTTCTATGAGCAATTCTTTGACATCACATATATATATATATATATATATATATATATATATATATAATGTTTGGCGTTGTAGTGCCACAGATCACAATGCTGTAGTGTTGCATGTAGAATTCTTGGTTATTATAGAATAGGGAATAGAGTGTTGTTGCGTTACAATTCAAAATTTTTATATTTTCAAATTAATTCATTTTAAAAGTTTGGGTTATTACATTTTAGGGTTGAAAAATGTATTTATATCAAGTGCCTTAAGCAAAAGCCCTAATTCTATGATAAAAAGAAAGTTATGTTTTATCATTTAGTATAGTCCATATCGTATGGTATAATCTGTTCAACCTAAACTGTATTTTGTCGGCCCTTTATTCCAACTACCTAATTCTATGATAAAAAGAAAGTTATGTTTGATCATTTAGTACGGTCCATATTGTATAGTACAATCAGTTCAACTTGAATTGTATTCTGTCATCCCTTAATTCCATCTACTTAATTAGGGACATTAAGGAAATTTATTGTACAATATGATGTGCATCATCCAGTTTGATGTGTGCATTGTCCAATATGAGGAATTAGAAATTTGAATTATTTTAATTAAGGAAATAGGCGATTTAACCAATTGAAATAACTTTGATTGTACGGTATGATTGCCATCATACAATATTATTAGTTTAATTTTTTGAAAGTCTGAAATTGATGTAAATTTATCTTATCTAGAAATCTATATTAAGGCATATCATATATTACAATTTTTTTTCGTATAGTATGATTAATTATGTTCAATTAGTATTAGTATTTTTTAATAATATTTTAATTTTAGCTTAAATTTCTCACGTGTGTGTACATTGTCTTCTAATAAATAAACCTGAACACATACAATAAAGACTCAATTATAAAATTAAAAAAAAAAAATGAATATGTCCATGCTTGAATTACTCTAGCCAGCTTAATTTCCCGACATACTTGAATTTTCACTTACTTTATTTATTGTCATATTTTCTTATAACTCGAGCTACAAACATTTTTATAGTCTTGTATTCCTTCTTAGAAATGTATCTGATTATGACTTTTCTGTTATTGTATACCTGCAATGTTAGTATCAAACACCTGTAGAAAGATAGGTTTTAAAAGATAACTAAATTATATTTCTAATCATCAAAACACTATAATCATGCTCTAGTGTCATGGGGTCAACACAAGGAATCGACCTAAGCTTCAGAGCTTAATTGCAAGGCCTCTTTTTTTAAAATCTCTCTCTTACTCCTTCATGTTTGATTTTGTTTCTATCTATGGTATACTACAAGTCCTTACTGCCAGAATTTTCTCGAGGTTGAATAAGTACTTCAGTTAATCTTATCTCACTGCTACATGCATGCAGGTACTCACTATTAGAGAGTTCTCATTTCATCAATTCAATGCAAATTTACTTTGGCCAGGAACCTTTGCATTCTGTGAGTGGTTAAGTCAAAATCGATCTCTTTTAGAAGAACAACACGTCTTGGAACTGGGAAGGTTGGTTAGTTTATTTTATAAAGTAAAGAAATTTCTGATTTAAAGTTTACTTACCATGAAAATATTGCAGTTATTTACTTAGGAAAGGTTGCATGCATAGATGTTTTGCAATTATAATGACTGGGGCATTTGCTAGTTAGTGGATGCTTGGTATGAGTATTTAGTCAAACTGAATGCCTTCCCATTGTTTGTCTTACTGAAGCATAGTTTTGTAAGTAAGATTTGAATTCTCAAAGGCCAATGATAATAGAATCTAAAAAAAAATATGATTTGTGATTTGGGTGGTGTAGTGCGGATGTTATGAGAAACCAACTATAAAGTGGTTTGGAATTTTTTGGGTGCCTTCCTTTGATATCTTTATTTTCTAACATTTGGATTCTTATAACATAGCTGATTTAATCATATTTTAATAAACATTTGGATATGTATGCAAGGGTTGTTACTTGTGTTCAAACACTAGATGGTTTTACCAAGTATTTTCCTATTTCAGTTAAATTACATCAAGGATCAACTTTAAGCCCATATCTTTTTGTTTTAGTCAACGAAAACATGAATTATGGAGGCCAACCTTATAGTCTAAAGGTTTTTATTTGACTAGATCTGAAACTAAATACATGGAGTGTAATCTTAATAGTAATAGTTCTAGTGGGAGGATTGTGACTTTGGTCGATTAAGTCATTAATAAGACTACTCATTTTAGATATCTCAGATTCATTGCTCAAAGTGATGGTAAAATTGATGAGAATATTATTAGTAGAATTCAAGTTGTATGGTTGAAGTTGAGGAATGCATCTGACCTGTTGTGTAATAAAATTACCTCTCAAACTAAGGAAAAAATATATAGGATGGTTGAGAGACCTGCAATGTTTTATGGCGCAGAATAGTGGCTATTAAAAGAGAAGCATAAAATTAAGTTAATTATTGTACAAATGAGGATGCTCTCGTGGATGAGTGGCTTCTCTCTTAATATCAGAATGAGTAATAAGTATATACGTGAGAAGGTTGAAGTAGCTCTAGTGGCAGGTAAGATTAAAGAGAGTCGCCTTAGATGGTTTCGTCACATAAAACGCCGACCTTCTGATGGCCCTATTAAGAGAGTAGATATATTAGATTTGGCCTATGCTATGAAAGGTAGATGTAGATCTAAAAAGACTTGGTCATAAAATATTAGAAATAATATTTTTTATTAGATTTAAATAAGAATTTGACTCTTAATAAAACACAATGGAGACAAAGGATTCATGTAGCCGACCCCACATAGTGGGATAAAGGCTTGATATTGTTGTTGTGTATCACTTTTATATTTTCTTTTAACATAATACATATGAATTTTTCTTAAGATTTTAGTCAAGTCTACTTAAGTTTATAAATTACATTCTCATTTATGTCTGCATTATTTTTTATAGGTCTAAAATAATTAAACCTATCACATTTGTGAAAAAGATGATAATAAAACATGTCCTATTGAGCTATCACTTAATCTTTTAATAGTATTTTCTAATAATTAATCAATTTTACTCTCTTTAATATTAATATATCTTAATCTCTATTCTACTAATCATTAACTCCTACTTTTTCTCTTTATTTCATTTATTAAAGCTTTATTATTTGCAAATAGCTTTCACCATTATATGAAATTTTTTATACTAAAAATCTTCTTCCGTAACTTCCTATATAACTCATTAGTTTGATCCTCATTTAAATACTACACTCTTGAACATCTTAACATCATTTTATAATTCATTATTTTAATTCTCTTATAATTATTATAATTTTGAAATTTTTGTTTTTGAATACTTGTATCAAAATACTTCCTGATCATATCCAACAAAGATTACACAAAAAATTTAGTAATTAAACCTCTTCAATATCTTCCATTACTTTTTAAACCTCAATGAGGATGTTATTTAGAACTAAAATTCTACCTTCATGCACATTCTTAAGATATGCAATTCATTTTACAATGATTTCATCACATTCTAAAATAGAAAAATATACAATTCATCTTACGTTCATAATTCATAAACATTCCAATAATATTGATGACATATATCACCACGTTCATCTATAAAGTTTAAGTACTTCAAACATTCTATTTATAAGTTATATATATAAATATAGAGCAACTAACAACCTCAAAATATTCTCATAACAAATATCCTATATGCCTCATATTAGTAATTATCTTACACAGCTATATAATAAAACATGAGTTTTAATTGACCTGGTTCTACTCGGCTTAAGTCTTATCTTTACTCTTTCATGTAAAGACGATCAGAATAAAAGTCTAATGAGCTACGAGGCTTATAAAGATATACAATTTTAACATAAAATTCAAGCGTAAAAAATATTGAACAATATGCATGTTTTTATGATGGATTGTAATTCATAAATTTAACATTTTTTACATTCAAGACATTAAAATTCTTAAGTTGTTTATAAAAATAAATTAAAATTTATATGCTCACATGAGCTAGTAATAATAGAATACTTAGTACAATGTCATAGGTAGGACAATATCATGTTAGTTAATGATTTAAACGACTAATCTTGAATGTATTCATATAGGTGTTTTATTTAGTAATTATTATTTTCCATATTTCATTTCTAGATGCCTAGCTTATTTGCCCATCATCATGACATAATTTAGCCTTCAATGTTTCATCATAATGTTCAATAGAGCCCAGGTGGAACCCAATATTATCGCTATTGAATTATATTTAGGTCTTAATGCCTCCATTGGGGTCCCTCTTTCCTCACACGCGTAATTATCATAATAGATTATTGTCACTCATCACCTAATATGACATTGCTTAGGCTTAGCAATTTCTGATCAATTTATTTAACTTGTAATTAAAATTTTCATTCATTGTTTTAAAATCAACATGTAATGTAACACATGCATTAAAAAAAGAAGATAGATAACACATTGCTTTTCTTTTGAAAATGTTATCAATTAGCAAAATATCTATATAATCACAAAATACTTAATTTTGAGCTTGAATCGTTAAATCTATACATGGTCATTTGCATATGTATTCTAAAACATTCAACAATATGAAGTATTTCTATTGCCTTTTATACTTTACTTTTTTTAAGTACAATTATACATTCAAAAAGATTAAAGAAAGAGCTTCTTGAATTAAAAGATTGCATGTTTTAATGCATTGACAATTTGTCTCCCAAACCCAAACAACACCCAACCTCTTACGCTTGTAAATCACCCGCACAACCTAAATTTCTCAATTGATATAATTTCTACCTAACAATATGAATATTTATTCAAAAATAATATTTTACCTCAAAATTTTCTCTCATCATATATATTATAAAATAAATTTTACTATAAAATTCTACAATTAAACCACTTCCTTCTCGTACTTGATTTCCTCTTTCAGTTGCTCGGCCTGCCTCACTCTCATAAGTGACTCCATGCACAAAATGGCCCAACCTGAGAGCTCCCAGGAATGCGATGCTTCGGCTTAGGCAAGTAAAGGTTAATGTTTAATTTAATATGAATTCCTATTCTACCCTAGGCCAAACCCTTATGCATGTCTCCCTAAGTTCCCGTTTTTTTTATTCCATACCTTGCCACAGTAATTTTCATAAAGGAACAATAAAATAAGTAAAAATTTTAGAAAATGATTCAAATCTAAACTAATTCCTTAACATTCACATCCTTGCAAATTAATCAATACTTTTATATATCAAATTGATCTATTTGATGATTAGAACACAATGGGATGCTTTTTGATGATCTTTATGAAAGTTTGTATTTCGAGGTATAATTTAATTAGGAAATTTTACACTTTCACCTTAAAAAATTTTGGGTATTAAAATAAAAAAGCTTTTTTTTTTCCTCTTGTCTTATCATTGGCGATGGATATTTGCTCTTTCTCACGTAGTTGTAGCTGTGCATGTCCTCTTTTGTTGGTCACTGACAGGGGATCTCTTGAAATCCCTTATTTATCAATCTCTTCGGATGCCTTATCTTTCCTTCCATATTGTTATCTCCTCGAGGCTTTAGTTGACCCCATGGTGAGTTTGCCACTTCTTTCCTATGTGGCCACTCTTTCTTGAGGCTCCTCTTGTATCCTCTAGTGGTTGTCTTCTCCTTTATAATAGCCAAGATCTTTTGCAAATGTTGTTCGTAGTTTGAATATTGCATGCATTCACCACACTCCATCCAGCAACCCTCCATTTTTCTTTCAACAGAATCCAACACCCCTACAGCATACACGACCTTCCTCTTTCTAAGGCAAGCTTGATGAGGAGATTTCTATGCTTGCTAGGCCTCTTTTCCCTCTCTTATTAGCAAATTCTCTATGAGTCATTCAAACATGGCGGTAATTCACAAGTTCTTGCTTATTTACAGTTGCAGGGTGGCTATTTTGTTGGGCTCCTAGACCCTTAGCACGTCTCATTAGACTTTCTTTAGAAGAAAATTATATTAGGCTCTTCTCACGAAGTTCATTTTATATCAATGGCCTCCTGACGCGCATGCTAAAATTATCCTCTCATTTTGATTGCTCTATGAAACCCCTAGCACTCTTATTTGGATCGCTTTTCTAGGATTGCGACTACACTATTTCAACGTATCTACTTTCTCCTTGCTTCAATCTTTGAGAAGCTAGGCTTTTTCTAACTAGATTAGTGGTGGAATTGGATTTACAGTCCTTTTTTTATAAGGTGTGAATTCTTTGTAATTGCCTTTATTGTACTCTATCAGTATCTAGTTAGTGTATCGTGCTTTGTAAAAAGAAAAAAAGCCAAGAACAAAAAGGGCCTTTAAGATCACTCCCACTTGGTTATGTAGTTTGGTGACAAGAAATGCACAGCAAAAAGAAGACGATGTAGGGCACTCCCGCACCTCACATATAAAACTAATTAAAAAAAAACAATGATACTAGCATATGGTTTTCAACCCAACTAAACTGGGCTTGGGGCCATGACCTAGATGAAGATTCTTTGTCTTTAAATCAGTTAAATATGTTTATGCGTACTTGTTTCTTGTTGCTTGAACTACAGGATGTGAAGTTTTGTGTGTGGGGAGTGGTGAATTGGTAGTTCAAATATTCATTTATAAGTACTTAATCATCTCTTTTGAGAGTGAATTGCCTCCATCAATTTTAATCCTTGTCTTTTTTTCTTGGCCTGGTGGATATAGTTAGTATAAAATAATCTCTCCTTTGTAGTGGAACTGGAGCTTTGGCCATTTTCATCAGAAAATCTTTTGGAGTCGACATCACTACATCTGATTATGATGACGAGGAAGTGGAAGAAAATATAGCATACAATTGCAAAGCTAATGAAGTAAAGATCTTGCCACATGTCAGTCGTAAGTTTTGTTCTGTAATCAAGCATGCAAATGATATATTGCTCTCATCCTCATCAATTCATGAGTTTCCTTTTTTTAGTTGATGCATCTTCTTAGGCTAAACTATGAACACTGCATGCCACTTTATTTTATAGATCACTTGTCTTTCTAGCACATATAAAATGGCTTACATCCCTCTGAAATACATGCATATAAAAGCTTCTCTACTATATTCATTCTAATGAGTAACTGAAGCGTGAAGAACATTCCATTTAATGATGTACAACTCAATTCTAAACTATGCTACTATCTTTTTAGAGCCCTAGGCTAAGGTTTTAATATTTACTCGTGAAAAATAAAAAATAAAACACTTTCAATAAAATAAAAATAGACCTATAGGGGAAATTAGGTTTCTAGGGTGAATTTGTTATTTAGTTGCCACCTAGATTGCTCTCTACAACAAATCAAAAAAAAAAAAAAAATCAAAATCAAATAAAAAAATACACACACCTGCCAAATCCTGCCCATCCCTATCAAACGACGTCGAGTTGTCCCATCTCTTGCGTGCGCGATCTCGCCTTGAGCCTCACTGCTCTCTTTCGCGTCGTTAAAACAAGAAAGGAACGAAGCCTCTCGGCTTTTCTTCCCGCAAAGTCAATCTCCTCTCGCACGAAATGCCCCAAGCCTTCGACCTCTATCCCACTTCTTCCTTACCTGTCGATTTGCTCGCCCCTGTCCGAACACCAACATAGCCACAAGCTCCAACCAACCATTCGTAGATCTAGTGACTCTTGACCTCTGATCAAACTCACATCAAGAGCCTGTCGAACTCCTACATCAACCTCCGATCCAGATCCACTTCACTCAGCTTGATCATCGCCTTCATCCTCTACCCAGCTAATCCCATCACTGCCTCCGACTCAGCTTTGCTCGTACCTCTTCTTCATTCCTCCATCCACACCAGCTACAGCCGGTCTCAAACTCCACAACCCGACAAAGCTTCAGAACCTCCAGCAGCATTAGACCGCAACTCGTCGCTCTCTGCAGTAGATTTGACGCCGATTCCTCACATTTCCACTAAACCTCACACGAGCAAGAGATCTAGCCACCCGCTTCACGTTACGTGAAAGCCGAACTCAGCTCCACTGACTGGATCTCCCTCTTCACTCGCTACAACCCTCTCTCGTATTCGAATACTTCATGTTATAAGCCCAATCTCCCATAATAAAGCCGACCGTTCCCTCCTAGTTGATCCTTACCCCACGCCAAACTTCCTCCTTCCTGATTACATAGTCTCCCAATCTCCAACAACCATAGGCCCACTAATTTCCCTCCTCACTTCCTGCACACCTCACAAACCCACTTTAGCCATCACAACTCCTCTCCACCACATAAACTTGCCACCTCAAGCTCACCTCATTAGCCTTCATTCTCCCTAACTCCAGCCCACTTACAAAGGCCCACTAACCTACCCTCTCATTTCCTACACATTTTACAAATCTATATACAATATCAATTTAAACCATCTCTCTCTATCTCTCTCTCTCTCTCTCTCTTAAGTATTATACTATTATTATTATTATTCATTAAAAAAAGAGAGAAATTAGAAAAGAGTCGAGAAAAAGAGGAAAGAACAAAAGAAAAAAAGGGGAAAAAGAAAGAAAAAGATAGGGAAAGGAAATTTTTTGTTTTCAAGCACTCGTCACCGTCGTTGCCCCGACACCATCATCGTTGCCCCGACACCATCGTCGTTGCTCAGCTAGGTATAAATGCTTCAAACTTAAAAAGCCTCCAATAGAATATATTCAGCCCTCGCGGCGCTCCGGGGATCACCTATGCACGATTTTATCTAGCGTGGTAGGAGGGAACCTGGTGCAGCGCTCGTGACGAGGCGGGTAAGCCTCTTGCATGCTTTGCTTAGTGTGGTGGGGTAAATTTTAAGTACTTGTATACGTGTCTAAGTGCCTACGGGGAAAATTGCATTTTCAAACAGTTGCACTCTGCTGTCATTTGGTACATTTTGCTCCAGAAGATCCATTTCAATTGTTCACTTGCTTACTTCTGTCTGAACAATTTACACATGCGATTAATTATTTATGTAGAAAAATATATCTTAATCTACCCAATCTTACCTAACTCACAATCAATTCATACAACTCTAGGAATAATTAAATTCTTCCAAAATCGTGCTCTGATACCAAGTTTGTGATGCCCTATAATCTAATTTGGAAGAATTATTTCTTTTATCTTTTTAATTATAGCAACCATATCTATCTAATTTCTTTCAATAATGACATATTAGTAAAAATAACTTTTATTAATCAAAACATCAATATACATCTATGTTCATTGCTCTAAAAATTATATATAATACTCAAGAGTCATATAAATACAATAATTCATCTTCACACTCCTAAATCAAGAAAAGTAGTCACACGTACTTAAGATTTTCATGCATAGTAGTATTTCTCCGACTGTCAAGAAAAACAATCATGAGTACTTATAATTTTAAACGCAAAGTAGTATTTGCCCATTCACCAACAAAGACGGTCATATGTATTTATAATTTTAAATGCAAGGCAATATTTCTCCGCCTGTTAAAAAAGGCGGTCACTTGTACTTAGGGTTTCATCCTGTCGCATCGCATGTCGCTAAGAAAAACACGCATGAGTTCCGCTCGTCATGTTATACGCTTCGCATTCAGGGCTTTTGCAATTTAAAAATGTCAATAGTGTCGGGGTTATACCTTAAAGTGCATGACGACGAGATGACAACAACACCTGCGATGCACAAGTATTTTATATTATTATCATTTATAATTTTTTTTAGTGAGATGGGGGTGGCTAGAGAGGGAGAGATGATGGAACCTCTCTTTCTACAAAGAGAAAGATATGGTGGAACCTCACTTTTTAGAGAGATAAAGAGAGGGGTAGTGAGAGAGAGACTAGGGTTTTGGTGGGAAGGTTTAGAGAGAGAATGGGAGGGTTAAACCTCTCTTTCCTTTTTAGAGAGTGAAAGAGGGGAAAGAAAGGGCTATCTCTTTTTAGAGAGAGAATATGAGGAGAGGTGATAGAGAGGGTGTGAGAGGCATTATAGAGGGAGGGTATTTCTCTTTGATTTTAGAGAGAAAAAACTCTCTCTTGGTCTAGAGAAAGAGTGTGAGAGAAAGGGGCTTTTATATGAAGATGTAAGATGTTGTGGGGAAGGTTTTTTATAAAGGGAAGGAATTGATTTGAGGGATGTAGAGATGATTTTTTTTTAGGAATGAGGTTAGGTTTAGGAAAATGAAGGAAAAAGTTGAAGTGCGGGAGAAGAAGAAGATAAGAGGAATGGAGGAAGGAGAAGGAGAATGGAGAAGAAAGAAAGGAAGGAAAGAAGAGGAAGAAGAAGAAATAAGAGTAGAAGAGGAAGACCAAGAAGAAGGGGAGGGATCGCCTTGGTCTCCGACGGTGTTTGGGGTCGAGCACACACGAGAGAGGGAGAGAGAGGGGTTGTGTCAGGCTTAGTGTGCATGCGTCGTGAGGGATAGAGGGCGGTTGGGTTTTGTTAATGGGATGAGGGGTAGCTTAAGTATTTAAGGAATTTAGAGTTAGAGATTTTTATTTATTTATTTTTTATTTTAAATTTAGCTTTAGATGGTTTGGTCATATAAAACGACGGCCTTCCAATGACTCGGTTAGGAAAGTAGATGTATTATATTTGACTTATGTTAAGAAAGGTAGAGGTAGACCTGAAAAGACTTGGTTAAAAAATATTAAAAATGACCTTTCTTTATTATATTTAAATAAGAAGTTAACTTTTAACAGGGCACAATATAGAAAAAAGATTCATGTAGCCGACCCCATATAGTGGGATAAAGGCTCGATGATGTTGTTGTTGTTATTTTAAATATAAATTTGGTAATGAAAACAATATATATTTTTTTATAAATTGATGATGGATATTTGTTTAAATTAAACGTGCGTCGATTCTCCTGTCAGATCGCAATCGTTCGGGCATGTCAATGTCATCTCGATCCACATGCACAAAATTTATTTATTTTTCGATCGATGGCCCCAACCAATAAGAGTGTCTATCTAAGCTGCGTAAGTTGGCCCAACCTCCTAATGTTGTCAGTTTCTTGACCGAGGCTTTGTTGGAGATTTGGATTTTTGGTCGACTCGCGTCTGGAAAGTTTTGTGCGGCATCACACTATTTACTTTCAAAACTTGTCATTAACTTGACTTCAGACATTTGTATTGAGATCAATAGTAACTGAGATAGGTAGAACTTAGTCAATTGAATCTACCACCATCACCCTTTTTGACATTCTACCCAGTAGAATAAAGTGAGTTATAAACTCAATTGCTTGAAAGACCCAAACATAATATATCATATGATTCCTGAATCACAATAATCAAATAAATTAATGAAAGTCAATTGAGTAGAAGCATTCTAAAGTATTTAACTACAGAATTTCTAATAAACATAAGAGTTAACGTTCATAAAAATGAACTTCATCATATATATCACCTCAATATACTTCATATCTTACAATCAGAAGTTCAGAACTAAGCATCACATAGGATTAGTTTATTCAAAATATGATCCTCACTCAAATTCAATCTCGTCCTTCTCTTTATCTAAAATAATAATCAGAGTAATATCTGGTGAGCTATAAAATTCTACTAGATAAAACATTCAAGAAATTAAAACATCTTATGTTAATGTTGAAATGATTATTAAGAATTAAGCTATAATTATAGATTAGTTTAGTGTATTACCTGGAATCATTAATGAGTGAAATCGCTTGAATAGCAATATTTTAAATTAATACGACATCATTTAATTATGATTGGTAGAACATAAACATGCACTTTGCAATATGAGGATTTTCTAATGTGTTGCTTTCATCTTTAAATACGTATAATTTAAAGCAAAAGTCTAAAGGATATTTGCTTCCTGAATTGAAAATTGAGTATCGAGCATTTGAGCCAATTAATGGTTGGAACATGTAAACTTTCTCATTAAGATCACCTCAA